GCATAGCTTAGGTTTGCAAAGTTGAATCTGAACAAACCACAAGGTTTCTGGAACAATTTCCTTTGGGCAGATGAGACCAAAGTGGAGATGGTTGGCCATAATGCACAGTGCCACATTTGGTGAAAACCAAACACAGCATGTCAACATAAACAACTCATACCAACTGTTAAAGGAACACTATTACTTTAGCTAAATAAAGCAGTTTTAGTGTATAGATCATTCCCCTGCAATTTCACTGCTATTTAGGAGTTAAATCACTTTGTTTCTGTTTATGCAGCCCTAGCCACACCTCCCCTGGCTATGACTGACAGAGCCTGCATGAAAAAAAAACTGGTTTCACTTTCAAACAGATGTAATTTACCTTAAATAATTGTATCTCAATCTCTAAATTGAACTTTAATCACATACAGGAGGCTCTTGCAGGGTCTAGCTATTAACATAGTAGGGGATAAGAAAATCTTAATTCAACAGAACTTGCAATAAAGAAAGCCTAAATAGGGCTCTCTTTACAGGAAGTGTTTATGGAAGGCTGTGCAAGTCACATGCAGGGAGGTGTGACTAGGGTTCATAAACAAAGGGATTTAAAGGACCACTATAGTGCCAGGAAAACATACTCGTTTTCCTGGCACTATAGTGCCCTGAGGGTGCCCCCACCCTCAGGGACCCCCTCCCGCCCGGCTCTGGAAGGGGGAAAGGGGTAATAACTTACCTTTTTCCAGCGCTGGGCGGAGAGCTCTCCTCCTCCTCTCCGCCTCCGTTACGCCCCGCCGGCTGAATGCGCACGCGCGGCAAGAGCTGCGCGCGCATTCAGCCGGTCACATAGGAAAGCATTTACAATGCTTTCCTATGGACGCTGGCGTGCTCTCACTGTGAAAATCACAGTGAGAAGCACGCAAGCGCCTCTAGTGGCTGTCAATGAGACAGCCACTAGAGGATTAGGGGGAAGGCTTAACCCATTCATAATTATAGCAGTTTCTCTGAAACTGCTATGTTTATAAAAAAATGGGTTAACCCTAGAAGGACCTGGCACCCAGACCACTTCATTAAGCTGAAGTGGTCTGGGTGCCTAGAGTGGTCCTTTAACGCCTAAATGGCAGAGGATTGAGCAGTGAGGCTGCAGGGGCATGTTCTATACACCAAAACTGCTTCATTAAGCTAAAGTTGTTCAGGTGACTATAGTGTCACTTTAAGCATGGTGGTGGAGGAGTGATGAATTAGGCTTGATTTTCAGTCCCAGGAGCTGGAAACCAGTCATGGAGTCAACCATTGACTCCTCTGTATACCAAAGTATTTTAGAGTCAAATGTGAAGGCATCGGTCCGACAGTTAAATCTCAATGATCACAAGCACAACAGCAAATTTACAACAGAATTGATAAAAAAGAAAAGAAGCAAGTTATTGCAATGGCCCAGAATAGAATATAACCCAAAGCACACCAGATTAAACTTGCACATAAAAAGATTTTTATTCATTCAGTGATTTAATAAAAAAATGTACAAAGAAAGCGCAAACAGCAGTGTAGGCATGTTAACAATACATGACATACCCACATACACATCAAAATCAAAGGTAAGTGCTCAGTTATGAAACCCACAAACCCACTGCAATATAGGCATACTAACCCAGAGCAGGAGATACAGCAACGTTTCAGCATCTCCTCAATGGGGAACTCAAACAAACAGTGTGGTGTATGTTCCTATTTATATACCAAAGATCTTGTGGGAATTGTAGCCTAAATAAAAACAGAAGTTTAAAAGGGGCCGAACACAAGACCAATAGATCTACCTGACATACAAAATTACTTCCAGGTTCCTATGACGTCATTGCACCCATGAGATAATCCGTATTTGCCAGTGGAACCCCTACATAAAGAAATAAAAAATGACAGAATTTAAAAATAACCGGTGACCAAAAAAAAAAAATCCCTATATGATTATATAAGTATATATAATAGCTATGTTTATATGTCAGAGATTTTCTATAATGAATCCTCAATAGTCTGTTTAGACAGGATTTCAGACAGAGGCTGAGCTCGATGTCTAGTAACAGCCCTTACACTTCAAATTCTTCGAAACATCAACACCCATAGTGTAAGAAAAGCTAAAAAATAATAAGAACATAACAAGTAGACATAAGTACATAATCAATATACCCTGGTCCATCTTATCTACAGCATGAAAAATCCCATTCTCATTCATACCATTAGGGCATAGGGTATTCAACCTATATATCCAGTATAATTCTCTCCGACTACAGGATTTTCAATCTATCCCCACCTCTAGGTGGAGTTTTAACCTGTTCAATACCCAAGAATTGGAGCTGTGAGAACCTATGTCCCATCTCATTTGGGCAGTCTAGATGGGCCGAATGGTTCTTATCTGCCGTTCCATTCTATGTTTCATTAAAATGTCTGGCTACTGATGATGTTACTAACCGGTTCCTAATTGCACTTTTGTGTTCGCCTATTCTTGTGGTTAGATGTCTCGCGGTCTGTCCTGCATTCCCTCTGGAGCATTTAATCAAGTAAACAACAAACTCAAACTGGCAATTCATGTATGATTTTAGGTCGCTCTTATAACAGACTGGGATGTGTGCATGAACTGACCGTCATGGCATTATTGCAATTCACACATCTCCCACACCCATACATTCCTCAGGGAAGAGATAACCATGATTCCGTCCTCACTATATCAGTGTTGGCTCTAGTATGTATTGAATCTTTCCTCAGGTTCTTGGAATTTTTACAAGCCATTATGGGAACACTCCCAAATATACCCTGTCTAACCCCCTCCTCCCCCCAGAGCCCCAGGATCTGTTATTACTTGGTTCCTATTTTTTTATTTTTAGTTATTAATCTCTGTCACCTGTATGTTTTTAATCATCCCTGGTAGGTCCTCGCCTGTCCCCTCCGCCTGCCGCTATGGGATAGGCTTGATCGTCCCCTGGGGCTGCTGAGCGGAATCATGTCAGCGGGCGAGGGATGTGTATCATGTATATTGGATTGAGAGAGGAAGGAGCTGGGTAGAGGCGCTCTGCCCTCAGACATACTCTGTGCTGTGCACCGAACAGAACTTGTGCTAGGGACCCCAGGATCTGAGGGCAAGAGAATCCAGGAGTCAGGACATAGCAGGAACCATAGAGAAAAGAAGAGTATTTAACCGGATACAACTTCCATGGCCAGCCATTAATATCAGCTTTCTTTTATCCTGTACCATCATCTCACTGGAACCCAACTTCTATTCTGTACCCCACTTCCATCATCTCATAGAATCCACAACTTCTATCATGTACCTCACTTCCATCATCTCAAAATCCCCATCTTCTATCCTGTACCACACATCCATCATCTCACATGGACCCAGACTTCCATCATCTCATAGGAACCCCAACATCCTTCCTGTATCCCACTTCCGTCATCTCACTGGAACCCTAACTTCCATGACCCACCATTAGTCTGTAGCTTTATTTTATTCTGTACCCCATCTCCCATCATCTCACAGGATCCCCTTCATCTATCCTGTACCTCACTTCTCATCATCAAACTGGAACCAAGACTTCCATCTTGTACCCCATTTCCCAAATTCTGAAACCTCATTAACTCTTTCTCCTGTACACCATTTCTCCATCAGTTCAGCAAGAGCTTCCTACCTCTCCTTTACCCTCTCCATATAAATTATTCCATTACCTCAACTTTTTGGGGTACTATATCTGCACTCCCTGTCAATTCTACTACAAATCCAATTTAGTACCCTTATTTACGCCTCTTTCTATCAATTCAGAAATAACACCAGTTTTCCTTCCTGCACCTTAGTTCCCATAAATTCTGTTAAAACCTTTTTTCCCTATTTCCATCACTTCTACAATAAAAATACAGCTTACTTCTTCGAGAATCTGAACTCCATCCTGTAAGCCCCCCTACTGAATTCCTCTTGCACATTGCTTTTCAGACACTCTATGAAAAAACAAGATATACCTAAAAATACAGAACAGAGAAAGCACTCATAGGGTAGTAACGTTATAATAAGTCACCCCTACAACTAAAGATTGCACTCACAGAATAGTTGAGAATTCAGGCTCATCAAGAAACTGATACACCCAGTTCAGTACAGTATTCAGGAGTCCAGCAATTCATGTGGAGAGAAATAAGAAACCATAGTGTAATACTGATAGAAAGTAAAAAATACACTTTAATGGTTACACTTACAAAGTAAAAGTGAATAAAATGCTCATCAATGAGTTCTCATGATCTCCAGTCCAGGTCTCTGTAGTATAGGTATCTGGAGTTGTCACAGGAACCAAAGGCAGACTATAAAATAGCAGCATACAAAACAAATAACACAATAGAAACTAACTCGACGCGTTTCGTCAAGATCAACTAGACTTCCTCAGGAGTAATAATAAAATGCTCGTATATGTATGAGTAGAATGCTGTAAACCAAACAAAGAAATACTTTTAACCCCTTCAGGACCGCTGACGGTTCAAAGATCGCTCCCGCCAGTATAACACTAACTATCTGCCAGACATCCTAGGCAGATAGTAACAGCCAATTGCGGTGTGTGAGCGATCCGCGATCGCTCACAATTGGCTGCTGTCAAAGTGGGTGTTACAAACACTCACTTTGACAGTTATCTCTGCCCCTCTCTCCTCTGTAGCATTTTGTGAGGCGAGAGAGAAAGAGATCGTGATAGTTTGTTGCAGCAGAGGTGTTCCAGAGCTTTATACAGTATCTAAGGTGAATTAAAAAAATCATTTTAACCCCTTCCCTGCCAGATCTGTTACAGCAGTGCATTTGTACTGTCTGTATTTTTTTTTGCCCTTAAAGGGTTAAATTTGTTTTAAAAATCTGTGTCTTGGTCTGTCTTAGTCAGTCAGTTTCCTTCCCCAAATCTCCATCAGATTTTTGTGACATGAGTTAGTTTAGGGATTGCTGTTTAGTAAAAAAAAAAAAGTATAAATTTTTTTATGTGTGTTTATCATTTGTTTTAGTCGTGTGTAAAACATGCAGCGTATGTATAACTTGCAGGATGTATATTCCTTCTTGGCGTCAGACTCTGACGCCACTGACACTGCGTCAGATTTTGACCCATGTCAGTTTTCTGACACGTCTAGTCAAGACGACATGTCATCTGTTTGTGAGCCAGCTGAAGAAAGAAGCTGTGCTTCCTCTTCTATGCCGAATGTGGAGGAGGACTGGGTACCTCCACAGTTAGCTGAGCCCAACGTCCCCCCTTTTAGTGCCAACACAGGCATTAATGTTAATGTGGATGGCTTCTCCCCAATGCAGTATGTAGAACTATTTTTAGGGGATACCATCTGGGAGGAGATTGCTTCCCAGACTAACTTGTATGCCACCCAATTTATTGATAACAATCCAGGTAGCTATACAGTTAGGGAGCATGACTGGCATCCCACAGATGTCCCAGAGCTTAAAAAGCTTACAATGCTCATGGGGATTATAAAGAAGCCATCGATTCGCTCATACTGGAGCACCAACCCAATAATGTCTAGTCCAGTATTCTCCCAAACCATGACTAGAGCCAGATACGAGTTACTGCTGAGATTTTTACATTTCAGTGACAATACCCTCTGTCACCCTAGAGATCACCCACAATACGATAGGCTTTATAAAATACGCCCACTGCTAGACCATTTTCAGGACTAATTTTCGGATGTTTATACCACCCAACAAAATTTATCCATAGATGAATCTCTAATGAAATACAAAGGGAGATTAGGGTTCAGATAATACATCCACTCAAAGCGCTCTAGGTATGGCATAAAACCGTACAAACTGTGTGAGAGCGAAAATGGATACACGTTTGCCTTTCGTGTATATGAGGGGAAGGATGGTCGACTGAAACCTCATAGCTGTCCTGACTCCCTGGGGACACGTGGGAAACTTGTATGGGACCTACTAAACCCCTTGTTTAATAAAGGTTACCACTTTTATGTGGATAATTTTTATAGTAGTGTCCGTCTGTTTAAAACACTTTATGGTTTACAGACACTGGCCTGCGGCACTGCCAGAAAAAATTCCAAAGACTTTCCACAATCTCTCATAGAGGCAAAATTTTAAAAAAGGCGAATGTAAAGCACTTCGCAACGCTGAAGTGCTTGCACTAAAATTTATGGACAGGAAGGATGTCAACATGCTAACCACCATCCATGACGAAAGCATGTCAGACGTCTCTGTCCGGGGCAGAGTAGAGTCCAAACCGGTTTGCATCAGGGCGTATAATAAGTACATGGGGGGTGTTGATTTGGCTGATCAGCTGATGCAGCCAAATCTTATTTTACGAAAAACCAAAGCATGGTATAAAAAGGTGGCTATCTAAATGATGCAAATAGCAACCCACAACTCATTTTTGCTTTTTTTTTAAAAATAATCCAGGCAAAACCACCTTTCTCCAATTTCAGTTGAAAATAATTTCTTTAACAATTTATGGAGATGGACAAGTTCCAACAACGGTGCAAGCTGAGTCCAGACATTTTATTTTTAAGTTACCGCCAACTGCTAGAAAAAAAAAACCCCAGAAACGTTGCCGGGTCTGTTTTAAAAACAGGAAAAGGATAGACACCCCTTTTCACTGTCCTGATTGACCTTCGAAACCAGGACTGTGTGTAGGAACATGTTTCAAGCTGTACCACACAGAACAGTTGTAAGAAGTGTTCCTGAATTTTTATTTTATTTTTTGTTTCTTTGGAAAGCAGCCATTTTTTGTTAGTCAGTTTCCTTCCCCCAAATCTCCAGTTAGATTCTATTTGCAGAAGTCAGTTTAAAGATTGCTGCTACATGTACATTTGCTACCTGCACATTTGGTCTAACAAGTTTTCTGGCAGTAACACATAACCAGCTGGCCAAAACCAGATGACGTGTGCATAAAAACCAGAATAAAAAAAATTACCACTACACTTTCTTTGGGGGGCAAAATGGTTGGGGAAAGAAGTCAAAACACCCCATCTTCTATAACCTTTGATGTCTACTTTATAAAAATATATACTATATATACTGTCATGATGGTAACATTAACTGGGGGGTGCAAAAATATGTCAAACTGAAGATAGACTAAGCATACCTATATATCAAGTTGAAAAACTGACATGTACAAGTTCTGATTGTTGCCTTTTGGCCCCAAACAACCCAGAAACCCTATACATGGGGGGTATCACTGTACTCGGGAGATGTTGCTGAACATATTGGGCAGTGTTTGGCAGTGACACATAACAGGATCTGTTAATTCATGCCTAAAGTACAATGTGTGTGACAAAGAAACAAACAAAGATTACTACCCAAAAGTTTGACAAAGGCTGGTGGTAGAATTCAGTGCATGAAAAGTGTTAAAATACCACCATTTAAAATACCCTGGGTTGTCTATTTTTCAAAAATATATGGTTTGATTGGAGTAAAATACATTGGCTCAATTGGGACATGGGCGCAGGTTGATTACATGTCAAAATTCCAAGTTGGGAAACTGATAAGCGCACCTGCCAAACATGGCCTTTTAGCCCCCAAAGAACCCGACAAGCCTATGCATGGGTGGTATCACTATATTCAGGAGATCTTGCTGAACACATATTGGGGTGTTGTTTGGCAGTGATCTGTTAATTCATGCCTAAAGTACAATGTGTGTGAAAAAAACAGAAAAAAAATTACTAACTCAATGTTTGACAAAGCCTGGTGGTAGAATTAGTGCGTGGAAAGTGTTAAAATACCACCATGTGAAATACCCTAGGGTGTCTACTTTTCAAAAATATATGGTTTGATGGGGGTAAAATACATTGGTCGGCTTCAAAAATGTCACAAATAGGACATGCATGCAGGTTGACTACATGTCAAAATTCTAAGCTGGGAAACTGAAATGTGCACCTGCAAAATGTGGCCTTTTAGCCCCCAAACAACCCAACACACCTATACATGGGGGGTATCCCTGTACTCGGGAGATGTTGCTGAACACATATTTGGGTGTGAGAGGGGATCTGTAGACACAATGCTAAAAATAATAATAATATTGCTGCTTATCAAAAAAGGAATGAAAAGTGAAAGAACTGCAAAAAAATATAATAAATGAGATAGGAGGAGACCATAATGCAAAATAAGAATAAGATGCACAATGAAATAAAAATAAAATAAACAAAATTAAAATTAAAAAACTGAGTGAACAGAAATAAAATAAGAAAATAAAAATATATGTAGAATTACAAAAAATAAATATAAATAAAAATACGAATTAAAATAAAAATAAAAATGATACTAAAAAATGAAAAGGTCTCCTCCTGAATAATAAGAAAAAATTAGAAAAAGGAGGACAAGGACTAGTATGGACATGGCGGAGTAAATCTAGATAAACAACGTTTCCAAAGTTCCCCTGACAGAATAGGAATGTAAGATTTTAAGGAAGGGTTTAAAATACACCCCGAATGTTCCCCCTAACCCATTCCAGATTCATGTAGATGTACAGAAGTTCATTCGGAATATGAGCCTCAAAAGATTTTTCATTAGGAAAAAGTCAGAAAATCCTAGGAATTTCGAAAATACCCAAGCCCATGAACAAAATCCACTTAAACGTTTTAAACCTCCATCCACCTTCTGTCCTTATGACAAAGGAAGTCAACTTGAAGTGTTCAACCAAATGGTCCTAAGGGATTTGGATAGGTTTACCAAAAAGAGAGAATTTTGCAATAATTTAACTAAAAAAGAGATGGGGATTTTGAACCAATTAAAAGATAGAGACGACATTATCATTAAGAACGCTGACAAGGGGGGAGCTATAGTGGTTATGTCGGTGGAATTTTACTTAGAGGAAGCATATGGGATATTGGGTGACAAGAACACATACACCAAACTCCATGGAAATCCTAATCAAGATTTTAAGGGCGCATTAGAGATAATGTTAAAAAGTGCCCTTAAGGATGATATCATTGATCTACAGGTATATACATTCTTGTATCATGAATCTCCAAGAATTCCCAAGAATGCTTTCTCTATCCAACGGATCCTAAAGAAACATTGGTCCATCCTACAACAGGATGAGTACCTAGGACCAGAACTGCCAGATAGACCTCAAGCCATATATAGAAAGGGAAGAAACTTTGCTTCCTATTTAACTTCTAGTCTGTTTACACAAAAGAGAGGACGGAGTTACACCAGAAAAGGTTTTTACACTTGCGGACACTGTAAGGCATGTCGCTTTATTCCATCTCATACTTACTCGTTCTCCAGTAAGACTACTGGAGAAACATTTAAAATCCAGGGGTGGACTACCTGCTCCTCCACACATGTTGTGTACCTCCTCACATGTTGGTGTGGGGCGCAATATGTGGGGAGGACGGGTAGACAAGCCAAAACCCATTTTTTGAAACATCTTAATAACATCAGGAGGGGTGTTCAAAATCACTCCATCCCTACACACTGTAATGTTTGCCCCAACTTTAAGGTAACACATTTTTCATGGATAGTTCTAGAAAAGGTCACCTTGGATAAGATAAGGATAGTATTAGATTAGTGACAGTTGCAGAAGAGCAATCAGTCAGGAGCTATTAACAGTTTAATTGATATGCTTTTATGAAGAAGTTAGTTTTTAACAATTTTTTGAAGGAGTGGAAACTGGGTGAGCATCTAACGGAGGAGGGAAGCGAGTTCCACAGGAACGGTGCAGCCCTCGAGAAATCTTCAAGGTGAGCATCAGAGGTGGGAGTACGGACAGAAGATAGACGTAAGTCTTCAGCAGATCGTAAGGGCCTAGATGGGACATACTTGTGTATAAGGGAGGATAAATAGGTGGGAGCAGCATTATGTAGAAATTTGAAAGCAAGAACCAGAATTTTAAATTGAGCTCTATATTTTATAGGAAGCCAATGTAGGGACTGACAGAAGGGTGAGGCATGGGAGGTGTGGGTGGACAGGAAGATGAGCCTCGCTGCCGCATTCCTTATGGACTTTAACGGCACAAGTTGGGAGCACGTAAGACCATTGAGAAGCGGATTACAGTAGTCAAGGCGAGAAAGGACAGTGGAATGGACCAACACCTTAGTCACATCTGGCGTTACGTAGGGGCGGATGCGCGCAATGTTTTTGAGATGGAAATGACAGGATTTGGCGATAGATTGAACATGAGGCTTCAAGGAGAGGTCGGAGTCAAAGAGAACACCTAGGCAGCGAGCCTGCGTGGTGGAGCTGATGGTAGCACCGTTGACTTGGAGGGAGACACAGGAGTAACAACAGTTGAGGGAGGAAAAACCAGAATTTCAATTTTGGTCAAGTTTAGTTTAAGGAAGTGGGCAGCCATCCAGTTAGAGATAGTAGAGAGGCAGTCAGATACACTATTGCTGCCCAGTCACGACTGCAATAAGGGGCACCGGTAAAATCCTGCCGCATGAAGAGCAACCACTTCTGCTCGCTGTTTAGGCGACATGCCCCTACTACACAGGTGACCTGGCACAGGTAGGGGCATGCCACCTAAACAGCAAGCAGCAGTGGTTGCTCTTCATTTACCTGTCAGAGCTCTCTGATTGGTTGGCTTAAACCAACCAATCAGAATGCTCTGAGCCTAATTGCATGGCATGGTAAGGTTTTATGAGTCTTTCCCCGCCCTTCAGAGTTCATTTTGTAGCGTGCCCTCCATGGGTGAAGATGGCTTATTTTTTTTACCGTCGGGATTTATTATTTTGGCACTTATTTGTTTTTTTGTTTTTACAGTTGCAATGTGTATTATGAATTTTTATTGGGCCTTTTTTGGGCTGAAGATAGAGAAGAAGAAAAAGATATCAAATGGTAAGTATGAAATTTAATTTTACAGGTTTAGTTTATTGCCCTCCTCTCTCACTATTATTAGGGTGAGGGGGCTAGATAGGGTATTTTTATTGGGGGGGTGGGGAGTGACTAGGGGCTTGGGGACTTTTTTTATTTGTGGTCCCCACCCGCCAGTCATGGGTGTGGACATTAGGCCCCCTCCATTATTAATTTCATTAGGGTGCCCACCCGTCGCTCATGAGTGGGCACCTGGGGGTGACATTAGGTCCCCCCATTATTTATTTAATTGGGGTCCCCACACGCCGTTCATGGGTGGGGACCAAGGGGACATTAGGTCTCCCATTTAATTACTTAGGGTCCCCACCCGCCGCTCCTGGGTGGGGACCTAAGGGGGACATTAGGTCCCTCCCATTATTTATTTATGGTCCCAACCTGACACTTATGGGTGGGGACCAGGGGGGACATTAGGTCTCCATTTAATTAATTAGGGTCCCCACCTGCCACTCATGGGTGGGGACCTGGGGGGGACATTAGGTCCCCCCCATTATTTATTTAATTAATGCTGCTCATGGGGGGGACATTAGGTTCCCCCTTTATTTATGGTCCCCACCCGCTGCTCATGGGTGGGCACCAGGGGGGACTTTAGGCCCCCTGTTTATATTAATAGCCCCCACCTGCGGGTCGCGGGGGGCACTATGTCACCCCCATTTTAGTTATGCGTGTTACCCACCATGGGAGAATGAGGGGACCTGAGCCAGGTCCTCCCTTATTTTACTAGTGACTGGGCAACAATAGCTGTCAATAGCTGTCTCGCTGTCATTTAAAATTGGATATAAATGTATCCTATATAGAAGTGTTAGAGCTACGGTAAGAGTGCGTGTAAAGAGTAGCTATTTAGATCTAAATAGCTACTTTTTCATATTGCAACATTGTTATAGTTTTTACTATAACTTTTGGTTACATGTACTCTTACCGTAGCTCTCTATCACATCTATATGAGATACTAATTTATTTCCATCCAGTTTTAAATAACAGCCTGCTCGCTGTTCAGGCGACATGCCCCTACTACACGGGGGGCCTGGCACAGGTAGGGGCATGCAGCAGGATTTAACCTGTGCTAGGTCCCCCCTTATTGCACTAGTGACTGAGCAGCAATAGCTGCCCAGTCACTAGTACTTTAAAATTTTTTTAGGCAACATGCCACGAGTAGGGGCATGCCGGAGGATTTAACCTCTCTTTTATCAATATGGGGGTCATAGTGACTCCCATACTAATTTTATATTAAGTTTAATGACACCAAGCAGCCACTGGTCTCTGTTTAGGCGACATCCTAATGGACAAAAACAAATTATTTTTAACGAATTTTGTTTGAAAACGAATGGTTTGTGGACGAAATTCGGGATTGACTAATTAAATTTTTATTTAGTACGAAATCATTCGTACAAAACGAAAATTTCACTGTGCACATGTCTAGAGTTTTGCCAGTGTTTGTAACTATTTCATTTTGAATTTCCCTTATATAGTTAAGAAGCCTTTCATTAGTAGTTTGTAGATCTTACATTCCTTGTCTTATGAGTTCAACTCTTTGAGTCAGTGACAATATTTAAGCATTAAGTGCTGCTGGTTCTATTTTTTAGGCTCAATCAATGTGTAATACTTTTAGAAAAACTTCAATTGGAACTGAACTGCAGGTGAATGAATGAATTTGATACTGTCACTTTAAGAAAGTTTGATTTATTGAAATAAATTATATTTGCTTTAACAATCTTCTGTAGCAATATAAAATTAAATAAATATTGCATTTAGCAATGGTAATCCTGTTTATAATTGCTTAGCACAAATTAAATAAGATAACTCCTTGATTAGGAACAATTAATACAGTCCATTAGACTTTAAACAGAAAGTAGGAGAAACAGGTAATTCCCGTTTACACAGTCCTTAAGTGCCAACAATAAATGTTGAAAATAAATAGATCCTGAATTGGACAGTGGTTATAGTCCTTTAGACTCCAAGAATTGTAAATGGAACAAAATTAGGAACGAGCATTCAGTTGGAATGGACTTTCAGTTGTGCAAATAAGAAGCAATTGAATCCCAGAGGGCAGACATTTGTGTGCCCTTTTATCCTTCAAAATAACAATGGGGTATGATCCAACTGTTAATCCTAATTACTGAAGAATTTATCTTGAATCCTTTGGATGCTGAGAATGGAAGTCCTTTCCAGTATGTTAATGAGGATTGTGGATCCCTGCAGAATACTGAGGATTAGAGGAATTCGTAGTCAAGTCTGTTCAGAGTCTGGGAGTGGAGAAGTCAGCGTAGTCAGGATCAGGTAGAAGAGGTTCGGTACATAGTTAATCAATAGAAGGAGCTCCGTCGGCAATTGGCAACAAGTAGGTAACACAGTATCAAGTAGAAAATTGATTGATCAATGTGGATGCAGCCGCGGCTTCCTTTTGAAAGGGAAGTGCGTGATGTCAGATGCATGGGCGGAGTCGGATCGGCGAAACCCGGAAGTCATATGGGTAATGCCGATCGGAAGGAAGAAATGGGGGAATCCTGAGACATATCATCAAAGAATGAGACTGGTTGAGTTTCTTAGATCTTACATGCCAATCTGCATGTTCCCATTGCAAAGGAAAGTAGAACATTCCTAAGGTTTTGTATAGCAGTAACATGCAAGCTTTTCCATGATCAATTTAGAACCCTCCCCTTTGGTCTTTTATCAGCTCCGCAAGTTTTCACAAAAGGTCTAGTGCTAAGAAAAGGTACTAAGAAAAGAAGGTCTTCATATGGTCCCTTATCTCGAAAACTGCTATTTAAGACAGACTCATCAACAAAACTCTTTCAAGATATCCAAAAGGCCTCTACATGCCTCGATATACATGACTTGCTTCTAAATCTTCAAAAATCAGAATTAGTTCCCACAAGAAAAATTCAGTTTCAATGCCTTATTATAGATTCATCACTCTTGGATATTTTTCTCCACATAGATAAAAAAGAAGGAAGATCAGTGCGGCATTGTCTTCTCTAAAGAGGAAAACAGTCTGTGTGTAAGGGAGGCAATGTTCTGGGTTTCTTCAAAGCCACTATTCTAGCAGTTATCTGGGCAAGGGCAACAATGAGACAATTACAGAGAAACATCCTAGAAACATAGAGCAGAGATCAGTTTTCGCTAGATACAATAAAGCCTTACAGAAGGCCTTTTGTTCAGGTTAAAAGAAAACCTTTTTATTACTACAGACACATTGGCTTTCAGCTGGGAAACCTGTCAGCAAAAGGTCAGTGGAGAGCTTGAAACTCTAAAAGATCTTAAAACTTCAGAACTGAAAGCAGTATGACACTCTTATGTTTCAAACACATTCTACTGCATCAAGATGTTCAGGTTCACTCAGACAACACCACTGGTCAGTGGCCTACAACTACAAGC